ACAGGAGAAAGAGGTGAAGTCCATCCTCAAGACAGACAGGCACGTGGCAGACGATGGCTACAAAGCTGTGTGGTTTAAGACCGATGTGGATCCAGAGGCTGGAGAGAGGGTTGAAGTGATTGAGAACAATGCAGCAGCAGATGATGATGATGATGACAGTGACCAAGATCTGCAGAAGAATGAGGAGGAGGAAGAAGATTCTGACCTGGATGATCAGCATGGAAGGCTGGGACTGTCCTTCGCCTCAGAGAGCTCCTCACCCCCAGCTGCAGAGGAGACAGTCAATGTGTCTTATATGGATGCAGTGACAGGAGAAGAGTCCAAATTATAATGGAAGTGGGCCTACATCCCCCTCAAAATGGGGGAATCTCAGCAGCTTTGCTGGCATGAAGTCCATCTTTGTGCTCAGGGAGCAAACTGGAATGCAGAGGATGAGGTTGCCTGCCCTGCCTGTCTAAATGCAGCAAATAAGGCCAGAGGAGATTAGAGCTAATTTACCCCTTTAGTGAGACCTTGGAATGGCACTTAAGATTTGAGGGGGAGAACATGTTTCATATCTCCACTTCCTGCCTGTTTCCCTGGGCCCCTTCACATCACCTTTCCCAAACTGGCTGCAGGTACAGCAGAGCTGTACCTGAACTGACCTGGCAGCCCAGGTCTGACCTTAGCCCAGCTCAGGGAGCAGTTTGGTTACACAGCCCAGTGTTCATCTCCTTGGTGGGTGAATAAGCCAGCAGTGAGTGCTTGGCTGTTCCCTTCAGGGTGTTACAGTCTGGTGTCAGCAAGTCCCCCTGAGCCTGCAGCTGCTCATGTGACTGTATCCAGGAGCTCACTTCAGGGCCTGGCTCTGCTCTGTGCTCCACCACAGGCAGCTGGAATGTGCCACCACAGTCCTCATCCTGCCACCAGCCAGGAGGTTCTACACTCAGGAGCTGGTGTTTCCTCTATCATTGGTTAACAATCACCAATCACTTGTTCTTTACTGAAGGGCTTAGTCATCAATTTTCTATGCCATAAACCCACTCATTGTGCACTATTTTAACTGTCTATCTCCTATCTGTCAGGGAAAAGAGCTCCTGAGATATTGCCTTCAGTTATGGCCCTGCCAAGTCAGCACTGTGTTTCTAGGCAGCAGGGGGAGGAAGGTGTTTGATACTCCTGTCCAGGTTTGCACCTCCCATCGACCCATCTCTTCCCCCAGCTGGCAGCCAAAGGCTGGGTTGGTCTCCACTGGCATCTTCTGATCATCAGCACAAAATTTATACTGCTCCTGGTTTTCTCACTTTGGGGCTCACTGCAGAGCAGACATGGGTTGTGGAGTGTTTAACTTCCAGTAAAAACTCGAGACTGTCCAAGGCAGGGATGCAGCAGGAGGAACTTGGGTCATTGGTCTTTGTCTCATTTCCTCATCTTAGCACAACAGCACAGGATTGCAACAAAGTAAGTGTCATGGTAGAGGAGCAAAACCAATAAATAATCCTGCCTTTTCCCTACAAACCAATCTCCACTTTGCTGCCATTACTCCAGATAAACCCGAGAGAGAAACCAAAGGATGACTGCTGGGATCCTCAAGTACTCCAGAGCACAAAGGATTTGCAAGGAGGCTTTTATCCTCTAGGCCCATACTTTATTCCCATCCATGTCCCTGTCCCAGTGTTCAGTGCTCAGTTGTGGTCTCCTGAGAGCTGCCCTGGCTGTGTGGCCTTCAGGAGCTGCACTCGTGCTGCAGGTGGAGACGTGGGAAGCTTTGATCCCTCCTGCAGCTGAGCTGTTTGCCCACTGTGGTTTGGCTGCTGGTGGAGGGCAGGGAGTGTGCCCTGTGTTTGCCATGTAAACAAAGCTCCTCCTGCTGCGTTGGGTTGTCTCCAGTAAGCATTTTCCACGGGACTGGGACAGCTCTCCAGCAGCTCCTGATGGCAGCCCTCCACCCTTGGGCACAGCGAGGGCGAGGGTGAGCCCAGCCTGCCGTCCCTGGTGCTGCTCCTGGGAGGACTGTGAGGGCTGGGAGAGGCTGGAGTGTCCCTCATGGCTGTGCCATGTGTGCTCATTCCTGTCTGTCAGGGCCCTGTTGTCTGTCTGTCTGGGTTTCTGGCACAGTGATTGACGAGCTCCCTGGATCTGCAGTCTGTGCTCAGCTCCCAGTGCTCCCCCTTCCCTCCCCGGGGTGCTCCCTGAGCTGTTGGAATCAGACTGGTCCCACCAAACCAGGCTTTGTTTTCCTTCAATCCTCATCAGTACACACAGCCACGGGGCTTGGTGTTTTTCAGAGTTATGCTTGTTTAATTTCCAGGGAGGTGATGTTTGGTAAATGCTGTGTCTGTGGAAGTGGTGGTGGTTGTTGGGAGGAGAACTAATAAAACTTGGCAGCAGGCAGAGCTCAGCCTCCTCCAGCTATTGCCCTAAAGCCTCCAGATCCTGTTCTTCACTCCTGCCTTTTTGAAAAAAAAAAGAATATAAAAATGAAAGGAACAAGAAGAAAATGTAACCTTTTCAGTTCAAGTCCATCTGAGTTTACCCTCCTTCTGGTTGGATTTGTTTGTCTGCTGAGGCTGAGAATGTTGATAAACTTTTTGCATTATTGTACAACAATCATGTTCATTTATAAACATCTGCGTGGGAAAGAAAAATGTACCAATAGAAATGTTTTTAGAAAATTGGATCAGCTTAAGTGTTTTCTGATGGCAAATAAACGCCTAAGTACCTTGAAAAGCTCATCCTTGCACTCCAAAGACACTCAAATGATTTTGGAAGTTTAACTCTACAGGTAGATTTAAGAAATCTCTTTCACCCTCTCCCAAATCAAGCTCTGATTTTTATTTCTGTACCAGCTTAGAATGATATTTGTTTAATGTTTGTAAGGCAGAGCTATAAAAAGTCAGTGAACAAATCTGCAGGTGAGTACCAGCACTTCCAGTGTGGCAGTGGGAGGTGTGGGTTTGGGATTTTACATCTGCCAAGGAAGAGGATGCTCATGGCTTTCCCAAGCCTGGAGCACCCTCTCCTGGAATAACACCCCTGGGAAGTGCCCATTTCACCTTCCCTTTGGCCTCTACAAGGAGAAGAAGCCACGTCCCTTCTCGGCTGTCAGGGGAAACTCTAAACCTGAATTGGAAAAAATCAAGTAAATACAGATATTTTACCTGCAGGAAGTAACAGAAACAAACCAAAAATTCACCAGGTGTCTGAAAATTCCTTTCTGCTCACATTCTGTCCCCATTTAGAACTGAATAACCCCATGGATTTTATCAAGTCTCATTGGCATAAGTGACAGCAAATGCACCTTTTTGCCTTTTTTGGCCCCCAAGAGAAAAATGCTTTTGGTACCTGGCAGAGTGCAGGGGACACTTGTTGGTTTGGCTTCAAAGGGATGGAAGAGAACTGGAGAGCTTTCTCTTTGTATGTGGGAGAGCAGAATGATCTCCCTTTTATCTGAGTCAATAATGAACCCTGATCTCTTCAGTCACCTCATCCGGAGAGATTATCCTTCTTCTCAAAGAACAACTTCCTAATGATAAATAGTCAGCCATAAAAGACCTCTTTTAACCTGATTTTTCTTGGATATTGAGTGACCTTAGCTCCAAAATGGATTCTTTTTCCCTCAAAAAAGGAAGTCAATTCAATTTTATTCTGGTTTGTACCTTTTATTTTTTCCTTAGTTGGTTACTAAGTCCTCCTAAAAATAAAACAGACCTGAGCAGTAAATGCAAACTTAAAGAAACAGGATCAACTCCATCATATGGGCTTTAAGCAAAATATAGCCTTCCCTTTTTATAAATAGATATTTTATCCAATCAATAACAACACAAGAGTCCACCAGACATTGAAAGGAACAGATTTAGAACTGAAGCAACAACTGAGGCCGAGGAAATGACCCAGTAGTAATACCTGGATAGAACTTGTATTCCTGTGCTCCTTTTGCAGAGAGGTTGCTGTAATGAAGGACAGAGGTTGGAATTCTGGTTTTCACCTTGATTTTGTGTAAGTTGAGATAAACACTTGTATGATGTCATAACGAAAGAGCTGAAAAATTTAAGACACCACATTATACTCGATGTTATGCTGGGATTTACATATCTTTATGCATACATTCTGCATTTTATTGTAGGATAAGTGTGTTAACTCTTCTATTAGGTATGTCATTAATTTTTTGCCTATGTAGTGAAGAAGAAACCACCCATCAACAGCATGATCCAAGTTTGTCTCCTCTGGGAGTATGGAATCTCCATAACCCACAGGCATCACAAATGGCTTCAGAGTCTGGGAGTTAAGGTCAGTTATGAAGAAAAAAAATCACTTTTTACTCATCAAATAGTCAATTTTTTTTGGTGACAAATATTTCTGTTCTTGATCACCTTTCCAGTAATAGCAGGGAGCTAAGCTGTATTACTCACAGGATATTCCTGTCCAAGTCTAGGGAAATTTTTTTTGCAGCTGCCACATATTTCAGTTTTTGCAGATCTAGAATGCAGAAGGGAGTAAGACATCAGTATTTTTAAGACCCCGAAGATGTTGGATTTTATTAAGATCTCAACTTTCACTTAAAGAGAGGTGAACGACCAGTCCCAACACATTCAGTTCCCTACAGGAACACAAGGTGATGCTGAAGAACAACTTGAAACTAGTGTAGGGAGCTGTTAAAGCGCTTCCCTCCCCACTCCCCCTCGGTGAGGTTGTTAAACCTGAGTTCTGGCCTGTACCACGTAAATAAGGGCTGGAAAACTTTGATTTCACTGGGGCAGTCACAGCTTCTCTGGACAACCTGTGGCAGGGCAGGGCCTCACCCCCCGCACAGGGAGAAATTCCTTCGCAATATCCCATCTAAACCTACCCTCTGGCAGTGGGAAGCCATTATAATAAGATTAATTCTGAGGGAATAAATTATAAAACTATTTATTTCTCCCTGAAAGAGTCGCCTGAAGGGAAACTACAACTCCCGTGATGCCCCGCGGCGGCGGTGCGGAAACGAACCAATCAGGTGAGGGGGGTGCCGGGAGCGGCCAATGGGGAGAAGGTGGACGTTTGAATTTCGGGGCGGGCTGAGGCGGCGCTGCCGTTACTGCGCGAGGCTGAGGGGCGCGGGCCGTGAGGGACGCGCGGAGCCGAAAGGTACGCGGGGCTCAGGGGACAGAGGGGCCCGGGACTGTGAGGGGTGCGCGGAGCCGAGAGGGGCTGAGGGGTGCGAGGTACGCGGGCTGAGGCGCCGAGGGGTGCGTGGGGGCTGTGAGAGGCTGAGGGGCTGTGAGGGGCTGAGGGGTGCGAGGTACGCGGGCTGAGGCGCCGAGGGGTGCGTGGGGGCTGTGAGAGGCTGAGGGGCTGTGAGGGGC